ATATACATATATATATATACATATATACATATACATATACATATATACATATACATATATACATATATATATATATATGCACATTAAAGTCTATAGTTTTTGCAAATTCCAGACCTGAATATTCCCAACACGGTGTATAAATTCAGAGTGAAACTGCTGTAGAATAGCTTGTATCCAACTTTACCACAGAATCCCATTCTTTTACTCTTCTGAGAATCTACATTTCCCCGGTGTGGATTATACTCATCCTGTCGTCTTTGCTTTATCCGCTCCTACTGAAATCGATACCAGTTAGGCCGCGGCTCCTCGTATTGTGTCGAGACCAGGGCAAGCCCCGGGGTGATGGAGGCACAATTTAAATCTGCTCTCGTTCCACTGACTCACAGGATGAAACAATGATCCATAACCCAAGAAGAAAGTGTGGCGGGCATGACAGAATCATGAACCGACAGTTTCACTGAAGATATTCCGCACTTCTCCGATATCTGCTCTCATTCTCTGAAAGAGTTATTGTCTCAGGGTAACAGTGGCTGCAGAGCAAAGAGTACACAAAATGAGGGGAGAAATGAAACATACAGGTTACTCCAGGCACACCTTTACACCTCAGGACAGGTGGCTCCGGTCTGCTCAATGTGACCTGAGGGTACTTGGAGATGGAGAGACGGACAGAGGAGAGTGAGCCGAGACAGACTAAAGACTTGCTCAAATGTCAAAACTTTCTAATTAAAGGGTAGGTATTCTTTCAACGACTTCAGCCCTGAAACAAAACCTCGCCATAAAAATACCAGACTTTCTTCAGGTTTCAATGACATTTTTGAAACAGTGATACAGAAAAATCCATGGTATTTTGTGAGGAAAAAAAAAAGGTACTTTTATTAAACGCAAGCGTTGGTAACCTTAGGCCACTAGTGGTCACACTAAAGCAATTTATCAACATTAGTCCCTGAAACCAACGCGAAAGTGAAGGGTGAAAAAATATGTACTGCCTTATCGTCTGACCCAAGGATATCCATAAAATTAAAGTCCTTCATCATCCTGTTGGGTTTTTTTTACACACATACACAGGTTCATGTGTAATACGCATTTGTGCATTACTTTGCCCTAGCTACAAGTTTGAACAACAAGCGTTGATCGTGACAAAAATGTATGACAAATAAACCGGTATCGGCTCACTGGCCAAAATGAAGCTCAAAATGTATCTGGCAGGCCGGATGTAGAACGCTGGGCGTAATAATATAAATAAAATGTGAAAAAAATATAGCTAAACTTTCAAGGATAATTTGGTACATTTAATGTCTGCCACCATCTAGTGGCATTAACAAAAATTACAGTCGATTTGTTGTAACGCACGAAAGGATTGACTTTAGTCTTTACTATACTTTGTACCAGTGCTTGGCAGGCCGTGCATGGTTGTGATTTTTTTTTTTTTTAAGTGGCCGGATTAATCCCCATAAGCGGACCGATTTTGGCCCGTGGGCCGTATGTTTGACACCCCAATCTAGGAGAACATATTGCGCATTTGCCATTCAACATTTTTTTAAAAAGTATGGATTCACCAGATTTACCAACATTTGCCATTCAACATTTAAAAAAAAAAAGTATGGATTCACCAGATTTACCAGAAACGCTGTTTTGATAAGTACTAGGGTTCCAGAAACGGCCTGAACACGCACGCGCGGACGCGCGCACGCTCACACATTCACATGCAGATTAGACAGAGGAGGAGTGACGGAGTCAGCGGCAGCAGCGACAGTGAGCGGAGTGTCCTTTCCGACGAGTACCCTCTCAACTCCGTGTCTTTCTGGCTACTTTAAACAACAACCACCATTACTTTATTACCGTTTTCGACTTTTTAAGGTAAGTCCCCGCAATTACTTTGTTGATAAACTTGCGTAGCTGTACTATAAAAAACGCGTGTTTACTTGTCAGGTTTTTGTACTGCGCACATGAGGTGAGGGTGGTCCCGCCGCGTAACCCCAACGTCTGCTCTTAATTTTTAAATGTACTCCATTAAAGTTAGCCCTTAGCCTACAGCACGACACGACTTGTTAAATTAAATTGCGACTTTACGACAACTATATGTACATGTTGCAAGTAAACGACGTTATACTTGTAACTATACTTTGTAAAAAAAAAAAGTGAGTATACAGTGCTTTATTCCAAAAGACAAACAACAATATAACGTACGGGATACTGTTTTGCAACAGCAGTAAAACAAACAAAATAAATTACAATATTTTACAGAACGTACGGGATACTGTTGTGCAACAGTAGTAAAACAAACAAAATAAATTACAATAACTTAACACTGAAATATAAATTATCGTTGTACCAGTGTGTCTTAATTTACAGTAAGTAAATTTAAGTGAAATAGTTTTATGAAAAAAATTGGTCTACAACTGAATAAAGGCCATTTAAAAATACTTCTTTAAACGCTACACACCACTGTGTAGGATTCCTAGCTGATAATATAATATAAATATAAAAATAATTCAAAAAATGTCCTATAAGATTTTTCTTCAGTTTTCTCAAAAAAACCTATGAGATTTTTCTTCAGTTTTCTCAAAAAAAAAAAAAAAAAATTTGCAGACAGAGGAGACTTTTCCATTTAAATACAGCAACATATTTTTGGATACATACAGTGCGAGTTCCGCGTCACGGGCTATTGAGCGCATCCACGTCGTTAGCGTTAAAAACAAAACAAAAAAAACAGCCTTGCCAATGTGTCCATCTGCTCAGGTCTCTGGGGGAGTAGATACGCCCAAGTTCAGAGGTCACCATGTGTACAATGGGCACATCGTTAGTTTAATGGGCAGCATGATGGGATGGAACAGTGAGTGGACTCTCGAAAAGCAGCGCTTATTAGATTTGTCAGCTGGATAGATGGCGAGCCTCAGTGTTTGCTGCTGTATGCACACACTGTTAATAATGTGCGGTCTTACAGTGAAAACTAATGTTAAACCAACCCCTGTGGTTACTATATATGTATGTTATTATATGTACTGTATGCATTTATAACTATATTCATTATTTAATGCAATATAAGAGATAACATTATTGCGTTCATCTACTGATGTCCTGATTTTAAACGCATCCTCAGGTTACAGAATTAGAGGTAACTCTTGGCATTAGCCAACTGTTTTTCAGAGCACTGCTTCCTCCTTAGGCTCTGGAGTGTGAAAATCTTTTTTGAGCTACATAAAAAAAAAAAAAGAAACTTTCTATTCAGTCTGTGGCTCCACAGAAACTCCAAATACCACTTAGGTCTTTATTGCTATAAACAATGAACTCCTTAGCCTGGCTTAACCTGTCACCCCTTGTTAGAAGCTACATACGCTTTCACGTACTGCTGCACAGACACTTGTGGTGTACAATTACATTCAGAAACGAGTTGTCAGCTTTGTGATATGAACAAACTCACGCGTACTTATGTGCTATGTGTAAAAAAAAAAAGCCAGTACAATGCTCCATTCCCTCCCATGATTCATAGTTTGGGTGTATTATTAAATTCTCGGAATCCCATCAGGGATGGCAGCAAAGTAAATGGAATTCGACTAACTTCATTAAATTAAAGTCTCGACCACGCATTTCATTTAAACAACTGCATTTAGCAATTAGCGTAGCTGCGACCGGGCCCGGGGGCCTTAGTTCGCCAATGCCTGTGTTCTACACCATGTATTTCCCCTATAGATGGTGTAGAAAATGAAAAGCATTTTAGCCTGTATGCATATACATCATTTATCTTAGTTCACACGAACGCTTCATCTTTCTGCTCCCGCTCCCTGCCCCCGTTCAATTATAGGACAATTGTGGCCCGCGAGTCAAAAAGTTTGCCCACGCCTGAAGTAACCTGAAGTAACCCCTACCCCAATTTAGTCAAAGTCTTTTGACTCGCATAAAACACATAATAAAACAAACAGCATAAACGTTGACTGGTGTTACGACAGTTTTTGTTAATACTCAGGGTGCCATCATTTTGTCTATCTCGGTCCTGTCCTCCAAATTCCACCGACTTCACAAGATGTTCTCTTTCCCACCAAAAAAAAAAAAGACCCTAGCTGTCCATGAAACAAACGTTTGACTGATTTCCCCTGGGAACTTTCTTGTTCATCAAGGCTAGTGTCCAGCATTTTGACATAGCACATACAGAAGAGCAGGGAAGAAATCAGAAGTTGTGTTTCTGACCTATTTAATCATCGTTAATGTTTGTTTGTCACAAATATTTCTGCGTCACTATCATGTCTTCTCTATTTTTACTTCTTTTAAATGCCTTATATTTAGCCATGTTAAGTAGTAAAAAAATTTTTTGCAGGAACATCTGGACTAGTTATCAGGAACACCATCACATCTGGTTCACATGTCACAAGGTTTATACTCAGGATAATTCAACAGCACGTCCCTCTCCCCCACCGCTCTGCAAAAGCGATCATATTGTAAATATTTGCCTGGCATTTTCTGGTATTTATGGGTGTGCAACATAAGCACTTCAGTCAGTCCCAAATCCCTCTGATACACTGCTGCAATGTGCTATCAGTGAAACAAATCTTGGGATTAGTGAGTAGGTCAAAGGATGGCTTTAACGTGGTTTAGCACTTTAACCCCACTGGTGTAGGAAAGACCTGATGGCTGAGAGTTCAATGAGGAGCGCAACTGGGCATTTGAGGACTCACGACACTCTACTGTGGCTTTGGTCTCCGTTACTGTGCTGCTGGCCCTTTAAATGTGAAATTTAAAAGTACCCTTAAATGAATAAATTAACAGAATTTTTTATTTTATTTTAGTTTGCATATCAGTAGGATAAATTATCTTGCCAAAGAAAGAATGTGTCACTCATTTACAATTTAAATTATATATACAGTATATATATATATTAATAATATATAATGTTAAGTTGTATTATGAAATTTCTTTAAAAACAAAAAGAAATCCAGTGAAGGAGGGCCTGACAGTAGAGAAGTGATGTCTGTTGAACACCCAGTTGCAAGTGCATATTATTATCATAAATGTGGGCACAA